CCAATTTCTCTTCTAATGTGGCAGAAAATCACATAGAGGGAAGCTCCAGGCAGCAAAGACGAGATGCCAGCACCGTCCCCATCCTGCTCACCCACAGCTGCAGAGCCTGGGGGGAGACTGGTTTCAGACCCCCGTCTCCATTCACCTTGCCTTGCTGTATTGCCAGCTCAGAAATCTTTTAACTTTACCTCATCTCCCCAAATGGACAATGTCTCTGCTCATTAGGTACCTACCCAGGGGGCAGATGTCAGCTCTGCTCATGGCTTTTCTCAGCTCATCTCTGCTGAGACTATTGACGGCTTCAGAGCGCTCAGGTCCCATCACGTCACACGGGCTCCTGCCCGCAGGGCTGCCCGCTCTGCCTGCCCGGCAGCTGTACCATCCCAGCGGTGGCTTGCCTATGGCTCCCCTACCTTGGGTTCATCACCTACCCCTCTTGAGGAGTGGGGTTTTGAACGATGTTTCATTAGAAGGCTGGAAAATAACAGACACCAGTGGCACACGCATGGGGCATGTGTATGTGTGTGTGTAGAGCTGGAATCAGTTTTCCTTGCCTGGGCAGCGCCTGGGAGGAGAAGTCGTTGCTGAAGCCTGCCCTTTGAGGCTGATGCGTCCCGACAGCTTGTTCACTGGGACATTAAAATCATTGCCTCTGTCTGCGTAAAACGCCCAGTAAGGCGGATGATGGGAACACAGGTCAGGGGAGGATCATTCTCTCCCCAGCATGATGAATGGCAGCACCGAAAACCCCAAGCAGCAGAACAAAGCGGATCCCAGAAGCACAGGGGCTGCTGCACCCCGACTGGATGTAAGTGGGTTCTCCTCTGACATGAAGGGGGCTGGCAGCCTGGAGGTGCAATGCAGACGGAGCTGTCTTGCTGAGATTCCTGACTATAAGGTGTACTATAGCTCAGGGGTTTGGTGATACAGTGGGAGATTATTCCCATCCCCATCACATCCGGTGCATCCCTCACCAGCCTCACGGTGTGTCTTCCCAAAGAGCTGACTTTTCCCTGTGGGATTGCAGCAAAGCAAGAGGGCATTTGCAAGTTCTCCATGCTCTCTGCAGACCTCGAACCTCACACAGGTGCCCCACAATCCCAAACACAAGGCCAAGCAAGATGCCAAAGACACACAAAGAACCAAATACTTGCAGGTGAGGGGAAACTGAAGTCTAGCTTGGCTCACTGAGTTTAGAGGAGAGGCAGGCTGGGGGTTGGAGCAGACTGGGTGTTGGAGCAGGCTTTTTTTGGGGCGTGAGGGTGGTATCTTGTAGGGGATATGGGAGGACGCGCTGGTATTTGGGATGATGGGATAGGGCAGCATGCCAGGGTCCTGAGGGGGCTGTTTCTGCATTGCCAGCCCAGAGTAGGTGCAGAGGTGGGGAGACTGTGCAAAGCTGCTGAAAATCTGGTTTTGCCTGAGCAAGCTTTGCTTTGGAGGACCCTTAAAAATTATTCCCAGCGTGATCTGCTGTGTTGGGCTGGGCAGCAGGGCAGCACGTGAGCTGGGGTGTTCTGGACATCCACCAAGGCAGTGCCCGGGGCAACCCCCATGCCTAGGTGCTGCTTTGGATGCCCACAGGTGTCCGCAAGAGCAGTGCTTACCAGCTTGCTCAGCCTGAGCAAAAGCAGGGGAGTTGTCACAGCCCCGTGAGACCAGTCACAGCATTTGCTTACATGTGGAAGTACCCGTCAGCTCACCTCTGAGGCTGGGCAAGCATGAGAAGCCACACACAGTGCGTTCATCCTATTGATGCCCTCTTCAGAGGATGTTTGGCCACATCTTTGTGATTCCTCCTTACCCACTAAAGACCAAATATTGTGAAATTTTAAGCCCCTTGGAACGAGGTCTCTGAGTCCTTCAGTGTGCACGGGTGGTGTCAAGCTGAGGCTGCTGCCCAGCCCCTGGGGCTTGCTGTCCTGCATGGGGTCCGTGCTGCTCAGGGTGCTTGGTGCCTCTCTGGGATGAGTTAAGGATGTTGAAATGTGATGGTGTACAAAGGTTGACTTTTGGGCCACATCGGTGCATTGGAATTCATTGCATCCTCAGGTGCTTTTATCTGGGAGCAATAAGTGTGATTTTGCTGGGATCAGGACACCCCTGCTGCTCTGCTCATCACAAATGACTCCTTTAGCATCTTGGGTGACCCCTTGTGAACACTGCTGAAAATATTTGCTAATGGGACCTAGTCCATGAGAACTAGCAGACAAGCTGACTGTGCAGAGGTGGAGTCATGCTCTCCACTGCCATGGATCAGGAAATAGAAAGCTTTTGGTGTGGTAAGCTTGCTGGTGTCTTTCTCAGAGCATCAATGCTTGTTTTGCCGGAGAGAAACAGCCAGGAAAAATAAAAATAGCTTGTACTGCCAGAGCAGACACAAGGTGCAGGGGCTTTAGCTGTCCTGGAGAGAGGATTTGGGAGATGGCAAAGATGATAGTCTACCAACAGATCTAAAAGTTGCTTGTCCATAAGCTTGTGATGCTGCCTTTTAAGACAACTCCTGTCTGCCTTGCAATGGTCACTGATGAGTAAGACCCTGCTGTTGTGTAAGGTGGGGACACAGGCAGCTGCCACAGGGGCCCCTGCCACAGCCAGTGCCTCTTTGGCCATGGTGGTGCCGCTGGATGGCTATGCCTGGCAAAGGTCTTCTGGAAGCACCCCCACAGGAGGTGTTGGGGTATGCTTAAAGCAGCCGTGGTCAAGACATACTTTGCAGTGCCGAGGTTTCTGCTTGGAGGCAGCTTTTGGATTACTTGTGGTGCGCTCGTACCCATGCTGGAACTGAGGTTTGCCCCCAGCATGGCACCAGTCCTCTGGGAAATGCAGGCATGCCCATACCTGGAGGTGACCTGCACCTTAATCGCAGAGAACACAAGTTAGGTGGCTCAACAAGCATGCAGGTTGACTGACCTGCTCCTGTGCATCTCAGGGAGCTGAAAGACATAGAAATAGCAGTTTTTGAGACTGATTTACAATTCTATCTGCACCAAACATTTAGAGGGAAAAGCTATGCTGGAAGCAGGAGTTTCTGTGCATGGGCATGCACATGGTGCGCAGTGCAAGACTATGGGGTCATGGTTGGGATCTTACTATGCAGCATGTTCCTGTAAAGAGTGGAAGGGTTGTAACATAACAAGAAGCAGAGCTGCTGAGAGATGAACCAATATTTGATTAAGAAAACTGCTGACAAATTCTTTAATGACACATTTCCTGAATGCTAAGCCTTGTCTTGGGATAAACTCAAACCCATGACCTGAAAGGCAAATAAAGGTTTCTTTCCTTGTGAATTCACAGGCTGTGTTGCTGTGGGTTGCTGCTCTGTGCCTGCGTGGGCAGTGGGGAGGCAGGATGCACCCCTGGGGCTGGGACAGAGGGGCTTGTGCTGGCACTGGGGAGCAGGATGTGGAGTTCCCTTGCAACCCCTTGTCCTTCCAGCATCCTGAATCCTTGTCTGAGCCCCCTCATTCACACATATTTTGATGAAGCGTGTGCTCTGCTTGGGGGTTTTCCTTCTTTTTCTTGATACTGGAATTAGTGACCAGAAGTTTTTGCTAATCAGCATTAAAAATTTAGCGAGGATTCCTCTGCTTGGAGCTGTTTTACCCATACACTTCCCCATCCCCTAGGCTGCCCCTGGCCACGGTGGCGGTGCCGGGAGGATGCTCTTTGCGAGTTCTCAGGTCGGGGGGGTGGCCAGGCACACCAGGGTAATGAGACATTGTGCTGTCTTCCAGGTCCTCCCCTGCTGCTCCCGCTACTGACCCCCAGCCCTCTGCCCTGCGGTCTTCCTGACCTGTCCCTGCTGCTCCTCTAACGGTGAGTCGTAGTTTGGGTTTTCCATCCTTTCCAATTTTTTTTCACAATTTGGTTGAGGCCTGTCCTGCTTGCTGGCAACACTAGCTGGGGATGAAGTCACTACCTTGGAGGACATGGCTGCTGTTCAGAGAGACATATAAGATATAATGGGGGAAAACCCATTAATTCTGAGGATAGTTGATCACTGAGAGAAGCTGTGTAGTTGATCACTGTAGAGAAGCTTCCATCCTGGAAGGTTTTCAACCCCCAAAGGGATAAAGCCCTGGGCAGCCTGGTCTGATCTTAGTGCTCGTGCTGCTGTGAGCAGCAGGCAGGACTGAAGACTGACTTTGGGGGTCCCATGGGCTCCCCTCCCTCCAACGGGCTCCTTCCCATGTCCATAGCATCAGCCCCTCATGCCCAGGTCGCTGGGGATGAGTGCTGTGGCTGCTGAGTCACTGGGAAAAGGAAGGGTTTCCCCTTATAACACATAAGCTGCCCTGGCATGTCAAGAGCAACACCAAGTCTGAGCGACGCATGGGGCCTGCAGCTCGCCCATCCCACTGCCTGAAGAATATTTTGGGTGATGGAGAGTTTTTTTCTACCCTCTGGCACTCAGCTTATTAACTGCTCAGGCTGCTCGATTGATTTTATTGACGGGTAATGCATGCCCCAGTTAACTTATTGGGAGCAGCAGCAAAAATAAAGCAATAAAAATAACCCGGCGCTCATGTCATGGGAATGTGCTGGATTATTTCCATTGCTGTGGTGGTGTGATTGCTGTATGAAGGAGACCCCTGGCTCGTGCTCCCCCTTTGGGGGCAGTTTCTGCAGCCAAACTGTTGGGCTGTGGTCACCTGGGGGGTCTTGCTGGGGTTGTGTCCTGGGGACGCCCTCCTCTACAGCCCCACTCTTCGGATGACTTCAGTAGATACTGGGGCAGAACCTGCCCATACCCATTCTGAATGTAGAGAAAAGGATAGACAGGGCTTTGCTACCTGCCTCATGAACAGCCTGGAGGTGATGCTCCTGATCATTTTGTCCCCTTCCTAACCCAACCCATGTTTTATTTCTCTCTGAAATTCACTTTTCCTGGATGGTAAGCAACCGTTGGGTGTCCTTTCTCCGTGCTGTGCCTAATCTCTGCTGTGTCCTGGTCTGCAGGCTTGTGCCGCGGACCTGGTTTCCGCCCTGCGCTCAGCATGCCCTTTTCTGGTGCAACCGGACCCTCCGAGGAATTGCTCTGGAGCTTAAGGCCAGCCTGCAGGGTAAGGTAAGGTGAGCTCAGTCACTTTCCAAATCCTGGGGGGTCTTTGCAGCTGCACTGTAGTCTCCAGGGAGGACGTGGTTGGACTCTGCAGACAGAGGTACTGCTGTGCTGCAGGGACCCGGCTCTGCGTGAGGGGCAACACTGTAGTGTGAGCGAAAAAAGGGAAGCAGGTTTTGCTTCCTGCACGGTGCAATCCTGCTAGCAGGGCTTCTATGAAAGGCATGTTTTGATGCTGGAGCCTCTTTCTGCAAAGGGGCTGGCATGGTCCTGCATCCATGCAGGTCCCCCGTCCTGCTGCCTCTGCCCTCCTTGCACTTGGCCACCTGCTTTCCACCACATTGGTCACATGGGTCCATTAAAACCAGCTAAAGAGCTAAGCTGGGAAGTGCATAGATGGGGACATTTTCATCAGCTACTCCACTTTTGTTACTAAAATAGATCTGCTTTGGCCTGGGGCCATCATGTTGTCCCAGGCATTGACTATCGCAAATGGATGGCAGGGCAACATTTTCCATTAGCGAAGAGAAGGACACGTGTCTCCGAGCAAGAAGATAGCTCCATAAAGCAGAAATGTCGTAGCGACAGACAAACCCTCCTCTCTTCTCTCCTTCTCCTTTTAAAAGTGTCGCTAATCCTTGTTTTCTGCACCTAAAGCCCTGGGAGGGACCAGCCGGAGCAACATGCTATACCTGCGATGGTGCATTTCAGATATGGGGCTGGAGGGTTTCTCAGAGGAGCTGCACGTGACCCAGTAAAGAGCACAAAGGGTAGAACTTGCTCAAAAACCTGCGAGGAGGCTTGTCTGAGGTCATTGGCAATGTGGTGGGTACCATTTGTACCTCATCTTGAGCATGCATCATCTGAGGTCTCTGGTGTCACCATCTGTGGCTCCTGTGTGCTAATGGGCAGCCTCTTACAAACACATCCATCTAGAGAGGGCTTTTTCGGCGGGGTGGAGGGTGGCTTTGGCTTTCCTGCTGGTAGCTTGGAGGCCACGAGCTGAAGGAAGGGCGCACTTGAGAGAGCATCCTGGGAGGGGTCTTCCTTTTCCCCACTTGCTGGCATTCCCCTAAGCATGGCAGGTTTCAGGGAAGGGCTCCACGTAGCCAACTCCAGGAAAACCAAGGCACGGCCTTGCTGAGGGCACTAAGCATCCAGCCTAGGACCAAGTCCCCAAACTGTCCTCTCATAAGTGCTCATAAACCCAATCTGTCCAGTAAGTGCATTTTATTCTCTGGCTTTAGTGAAGACACTTTTCTGCAGTAAATGGTTATTAAAGCACCATTTGGATGAACATCACAACATCCTGCAGCTCCCGCCTCCCTCCAGGAAGATCTCTGACCTCATTTTTCTGCCTTCCCATGCTCCCTGTCCAACATCCCATCCCTTCTCCCAGGCCCGTGCCCTGGCCCCTCTCCCACATCTGCAGGCAGGAGAGGAGCCCGGTGCCCTGCTCTGTGCAAGCCAGCAGCTTCTGGGTCAAAATGCAAAGCAAGGTATGGTTTTAATTTTAAATGCTAAGACCCCTTCAAGGCTGTGTGCTGGACCTCTGGCAAGAGGGGATTTCATCCTTTGAACTCAGAGCTGATCATATGTGTGTAGTACCATGATTATTTTATAGAAAAACTACAAGTGTGAGGGGCACCTGGAAAAGGACTCTGGTTTTGGAAACAACTTGGCACTGGGAAACTGCTGCTGCTCCATCTCACATCCAGGCAATGCGATGAGTGGTCGCTGCTGATGCTGGAGGCTGGAGATGCTGCGGGGCAAACAAGGTACTTGGGTGGGAAGTGTCCATGACGGCAAGGGGAAAAGCTGGCAACAGTGCAACATGCAGCTGTGAGGTGGTGAGGGGGATGTGCCTGCCAGTGGTGAACGATTTCCCAGTTTGACCCTTCTGCTTAATCTGAACTTGAAGGTGAATGAGCAAAACAAGCATCATCGATCCGGGATGCGGCTGATGAGCACTGTGCCCTGCGGAGAGCTCGGCCCCCAGTGTCGCGTCCCTTTCTCACCATTTTTTTGCTGCCTCCCCTTCACGCCTTTCCAAAGTGATCAGTCAGAGCAGGCATGGCACCCTGTGCTGCTGACCTTGCTGGGGCCCAAAGGGACACCATATAGGTGCCTGAAGAGAGCTATCCCACCATCTGATTGATGGGCTTCTTCCAGCTGCAGTCGCCTCTCTGCTGCTGGTAGGCCTGGCATCTACCTGCCATCAGCTCAGGGATGCAGGGAGGCATATGCTAAAGGCAAAGGTGTTGGCACTGATAAAACCCATGCTGTGTGCCAGGAGGCCCATTTCTTACTGGTAATAAAGTTGTCTGACAAGCCACATGCCAATTCCTCAAGGGGTCTGATGTCTTAACAAGCAGCAATGCATTGATGGTGTTTAATTCAGACTAGACTTGAAGAGCAAAATGTAACTTGAAGGATCTCTACACTGCTCATAAGTTTTTAGATAAAATGCCATACAAACTGACAACTTATATTTCTTTGACCTGTTGGGAAACAAAACCTGAGCATAGGTTGGAAACCTAGAACTTGTTTTGGCTAATACGTAGAAAGCTCTTTTTTGGGAAAAGAATGATGCGCCTTCCCTCAACATCTTCTGCGCTTTAGCCACAGATTTTCTGCAGCTGAAAATAACAAACCATTTTAATCTAAGTATTGCTTGTTCTGATCTTTTAATCCAGCTTGCTTTCTGTCAACAGAGCAGCTTAAAATTATTTCTCTGCCTGCCTCTCTATTATATAATTATTCAGAAGATTACTCGGGAGTCAGATTTAGCTGGGCATCACTGGAGAAGGATGAAGGGGCTGTGAAGGTGGGGGGCTTTCTTCTCTCCCTTTGCATGTTGGCCATCTCAAAACACGGGAGGGGAAAGCAGTGGGCTGAGCGCATTTGGCTGTTTCCATAGTTTGCATTTGAGTATGGCAAATTTCTCCCTTGGCTTGTATTTGTTGGAATAAAATGACCCATTGTCAGGCTGGTGGCTGGAGAACTGTGGCCCTCCAAGCCAGAGAGGATTTTAGGTGAAACCTTGCACTTCTCTACAAGGTTTGGGGCATTTTATGCCTGAACTTCTGTCTTTGATAACAGCATGGTGATGCAGTCTGGCCTCGGGAAGAAACCAGAGATAGGGACTGTGGTCCTGATGCCTCCTGTCCCCATGCAGAGTTGTGTGCCGAAGAACAGCTGTGATGGAGAACCACCAGCCAGGCTGAGTGCTGCGTCAGGACGTGGTGGTGGTGATGCCAAAAAGGCATGGAGGTGGCCGGAGCTGTGCTTTCTCACCAAAGCCCAAGCTCAGCTGGTTCTTCAAGGAGCCTTTGTTGTTACCCTTAGATAAGAAGGGCTCAAGCCCTTGGATGAGACGATGGCTGGGGACAGCTGCTCTGCAGAAGTAACATCACTGAAATTCAAGTGCAGGTGCCAGACGTAGATTCACCTGGGGCTGTCCAATGTCAGGGGTGATGAACAGGCATATCGCTGGCATAACAAGATGGCACAGCCAAGGGATTTGCCAGATGGAGACTCAGGTTGCCAGAAAAATGCAGCTTCTGACAGGCATGACCTATGGGCTTGAGCTTTGATGGGAAAAACAAGAGGATGTCTTTGGCTCCAAAAATTCCTTTTCCCTTCCCCAAACTGAGTGTCCTGACACAGATGGGCTGGTACCTGCAGTTACCAAGGGAAGGCCAGGAGCTGCTTGGCCTGTGGACCATGAATGGCTGGGATGTGGTGGCTCAGAGCTGCTGTCCCCTGGGAAATACAGAGCTGGGGCAAGGAGGGACCCCCAGCAGCCAGATGCTGGCAGCTGTGACTTGTCTTGTCTTGCTCCACAGGGCCTTGGAGACCCTTCCGGGGCAGAATATCCCCAGAATTATTCTGCTTTTTAGGTTTGATGGGTGTCTGGGGGGGGACACTTTGAAATGCCCTGTGAGCCTTGTGTCACCATGTGGTGGTGCGAGCAAGTGATGCCCACCCAGAGCGTGCTATGCTTCCTCCACTGCACTTGGTCTTTCCTCCAAGAAAGCTGACCCTCTGCCTCCAAAGCAGGAGACTTGTCATCTCTTGGGGCAGTTGGTTGGTGCAACCACTGTGCATTAGCCGGGAGGGCAGCAGAGGATGGAATCAGCCTGAGGGGGAAGTCAGGAGCAATGTAGGGGCATGAGATAATCTTTTTTTAGTGACGGAGCAGTTGTAACATCCCCTTCCTCCAAGGCTCAGGGAGCCAGCTGAGCTCTGGGGTCTGCAGTCAGGGCTTCAGCCCGGTCCTTCCCTCCACTGCTGCCTGCCTCTGAGATGGATGATTTAGCACAGCCCATCACCAGCAGCCAAATGTGTGTCACTGTATGCCCTCCTCTCCCTCCCCAAGGCTCCATCCTCAGAGGGGGTGGGCAAGCACTGCCAGTACCCTGGTAAATCACCTCCAAATTTCCCTGTGCACACGGACAGTGCCCTAGTGCTTGTCTCATTCCCGAGCTCCTTTCTCCTTCATGTTGAGAGCGTTGGCTGGTTTGCCCTCATTGCCTTGAGGCAACCTGATTTGCTCAGTGGCCTTTAAAAAAATATAAAAAAAATCAAAGCCCACTGAAATGACAAGAACATTAGCAGTGGGTGCATCCCCCTTTCCAGCAAACAGAGGGATTTGGGAGAAAATGGGTCACGTGCTCTTCATCCTGTGCCACGTGGTGGCTCTCCCAGGGCCAATGAGGTTTGGAGCCCTCTGCGCCATACAGCAAAAAAAAATCACTGGGATTTTATTCCCCCCATAGCATTTTTCATCCTTTCCAAACGTGAAAAGACTGGCCATCTGTCCGGACCCCCTTACGCCAAATCGGCACTAAAGCGGCTCTTTGGGGAAGGTAAGAAGATTTAAAAGGTTGTGTTGGTGGAAGACCACCTGCCGTGTGCAACTTTTCCTACAGATGAAATCAGGGAAGAATCATGAAATGAGTCAGATCTGGGGCTCCAGTGTGGGTTAAAAGAGATTTG